TATGCATAATATATATACATATATACATACATATATATATATATATATATATATATATATATATATATATATATATATGTATATATATATATATATATATATATATATATATATATATATATGTATATATATATATATATATATATATATATATATATATATATATGTATATATATATATACATATATATATGTATATACATATATATATATATATATATATATATATATATATATAGAGAGAGAGAGAGAGAGAGAGAGAGAGAGAGAGAGAGAGAGAGATAAAGAACATATATATATATATATATATATATATATATATATATATATATATATATATATATAAATATATATATATACATACATATATATATTCATATTTATATATGTATATATATGTATATTTATGTTCAATATATATATATATATATATATATATATATATATATATATATATATAATATAAATAAGTATATATATATATATATATATATATATACATACATATATATATATATATATATATATATATATATATATATATATATATATATATATATATATATATATATATGCCTACAATTGTACCATATAATCGGTGTGCAAATGTAACGTGCGATTCACTGCTCAGCCTCAGCAACAAGCATTCACATACTCGTATCATATGCTTTCCTCTATACGCTTCTCTCCATTCTCTTGTAAACTTCTTATCACTATTTTATTTCTTATTTTGCTGCTGAAACATGTATAACAATTAGAAAACAACAGGATACTAAAAAAGAATCTATATTTATCTTAAAGATGAGGAACGCCGTTACCTTTCAGTTATAACCTCCGATGCTTACTGTTGATATAGTGGGTGAAGTCCACTGGGATTTTTGCACTTGAAATTCGGGAAGGAGATATCTTTCAAGGCGGTCGAAGTGTCGTACGCGGTTTGTAAGCTGAGAGTGTAGATACAATTTCTTTTATTTACTCAATTCTCTGTCCCTTTCGTTCTCTCCACTCTTTTCATGGATCGTGAGGCCTATAAAGAAGGCTTTGATAGATCATGAAAAAGGGATTTTACCATAATTCTTCAACACTTTATGTAGATTACGGTCATATTTTTGCCTAGATAATGACACATATCCTTTAAAATGATGATAATGAAGTGAATAATATATTTGTAAAAATCCTAATGAGACATATTCTGGCTTTCCTTCAAAGATGGTCTTGATCTACGTTAATTACGCAGGGAATTGCTATTAGATTTAGCTAGAAATATTACTTGGTTATCTTGGAAAACATATAATCTTGATGATTTTCTATCATTATGTCATTTATTAAAAAACAACAACAAACAAAACACGCGACCTGCGCTGTGAAGAGGGGCGTACTGAACACTAATGGAATATCGTAGTGCCATATGAGATGAAATACAGTTAACGCCAGACTTTCAGGTTTCTCTCTTGACTGCTCAGCCTCAGCAACAAGCATTCACATACTCGTATCATATGCTTTCCTCTATACGCTTCTCTCCATTCTCTTGTAAACTTCTTATCACTATTTTATTTCTTATTTTGCTGCTGAAACATGTATAACAATTAGAAAACAACAGGATACTAAAAAGAATCTATATTTATCTTAAAGATGAGGAACGCCGTTACCTTTCAGTTATAACCTCCGATGCTTACTGTTGATATAGTGGGTGAAGTCCACTGGGATTTTTGCACTTGAAATTCGGGAAGGAGATATCTTTCAAGGCGGTCGAAGTGTCGTACGCGGTTTGTAAGCTGAGAGTGTAGATACAATTTCTTTTATTTACTCAATTCTCTGTCCCTTTCGTTCTCTCCACTCTTTATCACTGTCAACTTCTCTGTCTGTGTGTCTATCTATTATTTTCTGTCTGTCTTTCTCACTCTCTCTCCTCATCTTTCTCTCTCTCTCTCTCTCTATGTTTTTTTTTTCACGGCCACGGCTGATTGATGTTAATTCAACTGCCCCGGATTTATGTTCTGCCCCCTGTAGATTTTGGTGAATTTTATTACATGCAGATGGCTCCACATGTGCTCAGCCAGCAAGGAGTCTATCAGTAGGCCCTAGTTACCGATCCTGACTTCCCCATTCCTTGGATGGGAAAATCAGAAAATCATTCCATTCTTATTAATACCATTGCTGTCGATATCACTTATTTTTTGCTGTTATGATTATTAAATTGTCATTAAAATGGATCGTGAGACCTTTAAAGTAGACTTTGATAGATCATAAAAAAAGGGATTTTACCATAATTCTTCAACACTTTATGTAGATTACAATCGTATTTTTGCCTAGATAATGACACATATCCTTTGAAGTGATAATAATGAATGAATAATATATTTGTAAAAATCCTAATGAGACTTATTCTGGCTTTCCTTCAAAGATGGTCTTGATCTACGTTAATTACGCAGGGAATTGCTATTAGATTTAGCTAGAAATATTACTTGGTTCTTGGAAAACATATAATCTTGATAATTTCCTATCATCATGCCATTTATTAAAAAAACAACAACAAAAAACAAAACACGCGACCTGCGCTGTGAAGAGGAGCGTACTGAACACTAATGGAATATCGTAGTGCCATATGAGATGAAATACAGTTAACGCAGACTTTCAGGTTTCTCTCTTGTTGGAATCCTCCTCGCATCCGACTCACATATATATATATATATATATATATATATATATATATATATATATATATATATATATATATATATATACAAATATACATATAAGTATACACACACACACACACACACACACACACACACAGATATATATATATATATATATATATATATATATATATATATATATATATATATATATATATATACATATATATATGTGTGTGTGTGTGTGTGTGTGTGTGTGCGTGTATGTGTATGTGTGTGTATGTATTTGTACATATATATGCATTAATATTTGTTGAAAATACGTTTTTTTCATATAGCATTATAACACATTCCGGAAGACTGGTTGATTTCTTTGATTTAGATCTTCGATAAGTCCCGAACGCCACTGTGCCATTATCGTACACATCTCTCTACAAGTGCTGAAAAGTTGCCAATTGCATATTTTTGCGTTAGTTTAATTAAACAGTGGCACAAACTTGGCGTATTTTGGCTATCATTATTATCGTAATTGATTTTGAACCATACGTCTGTGCATTTTAGAAAATATATATATTTTTGACATTTTATGTGAAAATGTTCGAGTGCCTTCTACTAAGCATTCAAAAACTTCCCAATATTAAGCTGACACTATACAATGTAATATAATATTTTCTGATTTATCTGTGCATGAAGATTTCGTTTTTTTTTTATTTATTTATTTTTTTTATTTGCATCATACACACACACACACACATATATATATACAGTCACATACATACATGCATACACATATACATATACACACATATATACATAATGTATAAATATGTGTGTTCACGCACACACACACCTATGTGTGTATTCATGTATATACAAATATATATATCGATAGATATATACACATATACATTCATCCACATATATGTGTATCTATATGTGTAAACAATAAATATGTAGAAACATATCTATAAGTACATATATACATATATATACATATATATGTATATATTTACTAAATATAAATATAAATAGATATATAATATAATAAAGTAAAAACGTATATATATATATATATATATATATTTATTTATTTACGTATACATAAACAAATATTGACTTTTATACTAGTACAGCTACCATAATATGTACAAGTCTACTGAAGTCATGAAGTTCATTAAAGTATATGATATGGGGCGGTATTTCTTATATAAATATTTGAAAATATTCTAGAGATCCATCTTATTCTATATCCTTTATACTTCATATCTTTTAGAAATGTTTGCGTAAGATATTGATCAATCTTTTGAAAAAGAATAAAAGAAGGAAAGAAAGAAAGAAAGATATTAAACACGAAAATATAATAGAATACTATAGGCACATATTTATAAAAAGTAAAATGAATTATTATTTTAGTTAACCCTAATTATCAATAACTACATGTTCTATGGTAACTAGCTATTTGTAAAGGGTAGACTTGTGTATTTTGTTTGAAATTATTGAATAGCTTTTACGTCTTATAAAGCATGTTTCCATTCCCTGCTATGTGAATATTAGAGAAATTACTTGTCTTGAAAAGGTTGACTGTCATAATCATTTTTAATATAATTATTGTTAAGAATAAGCATTAATATCTTACCGTATCTACAGGGACCGTGAAATTAGAAGCATTATTTTTAATATTCTGATTATGAGTTACTTTTTACATTTAATGATGACAATTGACACTTAAATGTTGACCTCCATAAAATACACTGATATTGACGAAAAACAAACAAACAATTACTGTAATAACACCAGTTATATAATTTACATTTCCTTCCATACAAGTGAAGCAAAATTCTATTCATTATTTTAGAAGGAACGTGTCCATGAATTAAGGTCTATAAAGTCCACGCAGTTACGTGTCTCTGGTCACGTGACTGTATTCTGAAAATCACATGAACATTTGCGGCAATAAAATCCATGTGAAGATTTTTTTTCATCTTTTCTCCATTCCCTGTGGCTAAATTAGGGAGGGTTGTGATAAAATATGAGATCCTGGATTGGATGGGGTAAATTGTTTATGTATGTTGTCAATATGAGTGGGAAAATAACGCAAATTCTTTATTTTTTTGTGGTGTGACTTTATGGTGTTTTTCGGGAGCTCACGAAGGCCGGGTTGTGAGTTGCCAGTTTTTAATTTTATCGTAAGTGATATTGGGGGACTTTGACATTTTATCGGAAGGAATAGAAAACAAACACTTATCGTAATACTCATAATACATCACTACGGATTGATTATAACTCATCTACTTTTGTACTACACACGACTAAATATCAACAAGATAAATCAGGCGAAACTTGGCAACTAGACTCACTACCTCCCCGGAGAAAAGCGAAAATCAGCATCAGTGTCATTCAAGGGTTGGAAGAGAAAGTACTGGCATTTTAGCAGCGAATATTCTTGAGTGGTCCTCCGTTTCTCTTCCTTCTGAGGATGAGGTGAGATGGTGAAGATGGTGGACACGAGGAACTAGTGAAGTGATTACTAGAAAGTGTAACCATATTGCTTTAATCAGTGATTTATAACCCTTTTCAAGTATGCGTTGTCACGGAACTGTTTCTAACCTATTTATTGTGAACAGTGTTAAATAATCACTAAATCATTAATAGATTTTACCGATATTAGTTCTAACTATTTAGCAGAAAAGCAGACTGAGAATTTGAAAAGCTATAACACCCTCTAGGTAACCTCGTTATAGTGACCAGATGACCTCGCTATAGTGACCAGGTAACCTCGTTATAGTGAACACCTCAATATTTGAGGAAAAGCAGCACGCAATATCATCATCCTGGATAAAGACGAATATCTTTTTATATCTATAGTGTCATTCAAACAACAAACAAAACTAGCAATCTATAATTATTTATCACAAGCTTGTGTTCGAGGTAGAGTTAGAAATGCTAGTTGCGGGGGCTGTTGCCGGGGGGGGGGGGGGAGACTACTGCCTATGTTGGTGAATTAAGATGGTGTTGTAAGGCTTATGTTGAGAAATACAGGTGGTGCTTTGTTCCATTATATATATATATATATATATATATATATATATATATATATATATATATATATGCGTATATATTGTGTGTACACGAGTGATTATATATAGATTAAATATATATTTATGTAGAGACACATATGTGTGTATATACATTTATGTATAGATACATGCACAGACCGGGCTCCCCAAATAGGCATAGCCCGGGCGAGGCTCTGCTTCGCGAATCTAAAAAAAAAAAAAAAAAAAAAAAAACATGCAGATACATGCACACACACACACACACACACACACATATATATATATATATATATATATGTATACATATATACACACACCCATAAATATGTATATATACATATGTTTATATATACATATATATGCATAATATGTATATATATTATATATGTGTGTGTATCAATATGTCTATCAATCTGTACACACACACACACACACACACACACACACACACACACACACACACACACATATATATATATATATATATATATATATATATATATATATATGAAAAGGATAACAGCCACAGTAAGAAATGAAAATTCGTGACGTGTCGAACTGTTCATGAGTTCCTCTTCAGACGAATTTTTGTTTATTATTCATATGACGAGGAACTCGTGAAAAGGTCGAAACGTCACGATTTATTTTCATCTCTTACCATGGCTGTTTTCCTTTTCATATTTGTGTACACGTTACTGCGTTTGTGTTTATGTCTACATATATATATATATATATATATATATATATATATATATATATATATGTATATATGTATATATGTATATATATATATATATATATATATATATATATATATGTATATATGTATATATATATATATATATATATATATATATATATATATATATATGTGAGTGTGTGTGTGTATGTGATATATCTGTATATGTATATTTATGTATAAAGATATTCATATTCATATCTAATAATATATAATTATGTATACATACATAAGATTGTGTATATGCATACATACATACATACATATATATATATATATATATATATATATATATATATATATATATATATATATATATATATACATATATATATGCGTATATGTGTGTAAATATTTTATATAAATATAAATATGTATATATATTATGTATATATATGTATGTGTATATGTGTATGCTTGCGGGTGTGTGTGTATATATGTATGTTCATATATATGTATGTATATATGTATATATCAATATATATAGATACATATTAGTGTGCTTCCAGTAGCGATGTTAATAAGATAAGAAACTGCCGAAGATTAACTTGCACTCTTTGTTTTGTAACAATACACTCTGATAAGCCAGGGCCGTGACGCAAGTGCAGTAAATCACTCTTAATTCCTGTCTTTTTTTAAAACTCTTTCTAATGTGAAACAAAGAGTTATTTTCTGAGAGAGATGATTAAATATATGTATATATGTATATATATATATATATATATATATATATATATATATATATATATATATATATATATTTACAAGAGAGAGAGAGAGAGAGAGAGAGAGAGAGAGAGAGAGAGAGAGAGAGAGAGAGAGAGAGAGAGAAGAGCAAGAGAGAGAGAGCAAGAGAGAAAGAGAGAGAGAGAGAGAAAGAAAGAGCAAGAGAGAAAGAGGGAGAGAGAGAGAGAGAGAGAGAGAAAGAGCAAGAGAGAGAGAGAGAAGAGAGAGAGAGAAGAGATTGAGAGAGAGAAAAAAAAGAGCAAGAGAGAAAGAGAGAGAGAGAG